TGTGATGATTTATCCGTAATCATAAACCAAATATTTCATGATAAAAAAGGGACACTTGATATAGCAGGTATTTATTGGACATAGATAGACTACTGGGCAGACACAGACGGGTATTGGCAACATGAATAAACGGTTTGTAAATATCATAATAACATGAAACACATATATTTACATAATGAACAAAAACAAGATAAAACCTGAGCGAGTCTGTTTTCCAGCATGAATTCGGACGACCGTGTGTGTACTAATGCGACAGACAAAGTCAATTACGTTCTTCAATGTGTTATGTATACATCAATTCAATACAAACGTGTTATTGAGTGGGACGGAAGCGAGATATGGCTTGCTTACATTAAAGAGGAATGGACTGTGTATACAATCCGTAATTGAATTTTCGGAATTCGAAATTTCTAGATAAAAAAAAAATATGATTACTTCACTTATGCAGTAAAATTATCAAGGAAGAGTATATTTATGTACAGATATTTATATTGGTAGTAACCGCTTTCATGTGTCATTATATGATATTAGTACATAGAGGATTACTCGTGATGACACATAAAAAGTAGGCATACCAGTGTAGACAGACGAAAAAACACCATTATCACTGGACATGTACACGTTGGTTTCTCATAGAAAGAAAAACTAAAAGAGCCACCTAGACCTTCAAGTGCTTACATAACGAAACGGTTTCGTTAGTGCCAGATAGAGTATGAACAGAAACCTTAGGATACATGGGAGTGATTCAGAATTCTACATTGCCTGTTACATGTATAAGCAAGTAGGTATTCTTTGTATTCTAGTGAAATGTTAAAATACAAACGACATTTTGATTATTCTTATAGAGTATGTGGAGTAATGGTGTAGTCAGTGATACACATATATACAGGGTACATGTAAACAGAAAACTATATTGTTTGTCATAAACGTAGCGTGAATACATTATTACTATTACTTTTTCTATTAAAAGTTTTGTCCTACTTCTGTCTATGTTGCGTTTCATTTATTGTTTGACCTGTGCTCTTTGTACGGCTTATAATTAATGACTTACATATATTCATACAGGTCGAAGTTAGAACTGTCTGGTTGTACATGAATGGCTACACATATACTTTAGCAGGCATATCGTACCCTAGTAGTTGGCCTGGCATCAGGAGATATAATTCATTGTATTATATAGCCGTATAGGCCATTTAGCCAGGAAAAACATGATAGCCGGGTAATGATTAATTACCCGATAATACTGTGAAATCCCGGAACAGAAAGTAGCGAACAGGATAACTTGTAAATAATAAACACATTGTATGGATTAAACAATCGATATATAGCCTATATAGCCTATAATTGTTGTCAATAACATAGACAGCTCAGATACAAGATTGTACCTTCAGTAAATCTGTAAGGTAAAACTGCATCTAAGACGTTGTAATCGTTCGCCAAGTTATATACCTGATATTGCAGTTTTACACGTTAAAAAGGTAACACTGGCATGATTTATCCTATTGGAGTGTTCAACTACTCATATTTGAATGTGAATGCTAATTCATTTCATTATTTTATTATTCAACCTTTGTTTTTGATATACAGTGTACAGTCGTTGTATTCAGTATTTAGCTTATTTATTTACCAAGAAATTCTTCTTGTTATTTACTGTTGTTATTCAGACGAATGTGAAATATGTTTTTGTTTGGCTTTCTATGTAGATTTGCTAAATTTTCAAATAATGGCTTTTATTCTATATAAACATAGTATTTGTTATGAATAGCACAGTATCCGATTTAATTCATTCTTGAACAAAAACGAAAAATACTACTTCATGATATAATATTGAGATATTTTTTCTGTCCTTTCCACAAAAAGATATGAAGAATAGCATAGATATAATTCTTTACACTATTCTTAAACGAAAGTACGGCTTTATAGACACAATCTGTCCTGAGTAGGCTGTATAATGAAAATCGTTTCAAACGGCTTCACAGTACTATAATAATGCACTTCCACTTTCGTTTTCTCATTCGCGGAAGGAAATGAATCGCAGGCGATTGAGTTGTTGTTGTGCGCTACTGCTAAACAGACAATAAATATGAGATTCTATGACTGTGTTGATATAGAATTCCAAAGCAGACCAAATAAAGTTAGCCTGATATTCCATCTAAGTTCATTAACTTGTTATATGTTACCAGGCCATGTCTTACAACTTGTCGTAGCTTTTTACACGCACATGATATATCCAAATATAGTTATAATAAAGTTTTTGTAAAATGACAATAAATTGACAAATGGACAATCGAAAGCTGTCAAATATTGCTAAACAAACTATAATATATAGATGAATTTACAAAACATTGGCAAAGACAAGTNGAATTTACAAACCATTTGCAAAGACAAGATTATTACTTAATATTGTGAATCAAAATTCTATAATTGTGTTTGAAACACGATATTTACAAAAACATTCTTTAAATAACAAACCATAATATTACATACACTGTAAACCTATTAGCCAATTTAGTCAACTTTTGACTGGTTATCAACAATGTTCAAATTTTCTCGACTACTGGCCTATAGTTGTAAAGCTATTTTAAGATCGAAATGGGCATATTCTATTTTTACCTTATAATGCTCATTAAGATGAATCGTTACTGTGGGAGTGTGTTAGCAAATTCAAAACGTTTTGGTGAACAAAGAAAAGTGTTGATACAGAATAACAGAGGCAGACGAATCACAGTCAGCCTTATATTTCAACTGCGTTCATTGACTTGTCATATGTTACGAGGCCATGTCGTACATCTTGATTTAGCTTTTTACATGTATTTGATTCATCAAAATTTAGTTATTTTTAGTGTTTGTTTGAAAAAGGGAAATAAAATAACAAATAGACAATTAAAAGAAGTACAAAATATTTTAAAAGAAACTAGAATATACAGTTGAATCTACAAAACATTTCCAAAGACACGATCAGTACTAAATATTTTTGAATAAAATATACGATATCTCATTATAATTACATCAAATGTATTGATCACAAAGTACAAAGCTAAAATTATCACAATGTATTAAGGAATAACAGTCGAATCAAGCAATCCAGTGTTATCTAAATTACATTTACATTGCATTCCATTTACATTGCATTTATTAAATCACTCAATATAGATATAACAATACAAATATAAAATTAGCACAACATTCATTTACTAATCCCACATTTGCAATACACAGCCACTGGTTTGGGAGGGGGAAGGTTAACTGATAAGACCACGAATACACGGTTGCCAATGGTTTGGGAGGGGGAAGGTAATAACTATTACCTCTATATTGTACGGTTTGTTATTTTATGTTTTAGTCGCACGGAAAGGTGGGTTATAAATTTCCATCCAAGTGTCTGCGTTGTAATTGAATAAGTTACTAGTATTCTATTTTTGAACATGTAAAAAATATTTTGTCTGTACAAGAACTTTTCAACAAAGAACCATAGCTCCGTAAAAGTGGGTCAGAATGGAAAAAACTATCTGGATGCACATTATCAGGGATGTAGTTATGACATCTGTAAAGTTTCGTTGCAATCGGTTCACAAATTGAGGAGAAGTTGTCCGGGTGGGGGTAAGGGGTGGGGCATAATAATAAGATAAGGGGATCAGACTGGATCCTACGACTCCGGAGGGATCAAATAGTTCAACGGAACAGTTCCTCTCGATGACACAGAGTTGACATATATGTACTGTTTAGGATTGTGTCATCTATTATTTATGCAGGGGTATACCATGTTATTTCTTTGGCGACTCTTCAGTTTCTGGTTTTATTTTAACTTATTAGGCCGACTATAAGGCAGTTTGTTTGAACAAACGTGATAGCCCTCTGCCCAGCAAGCTATAGCTAAAAGTCAAATATCATGACTATACCTCAGAAGAAGTCATTTCAATTTTTTATCATATTTGACCCGATGATATTAAAAGAGGCAAAGGCAATGGTTTTAAAACATTCACTTCCCATTTTCAAATGCGTCAATTGCGATTCTAGGTATGTGGTTTCTGGAGGAAAGGCTAACGAAGGACACAGAAAAGACGGACAGCCGACAGAGGGGCATATGTTTGCGAGTGTGGATTACAAAAATAAATTTAAGAAATTCGCAACAATAATGATATAAATAAGTAACATACATATTCATTACTATATTTTTCGTAATGATATCATGTCGTTTTATGTGACTGGCCAAAGGTTATATCTGTTCATAGATACATGTACCACTTTTATACAATGGAAATTATCCTATTTTACTTTTTAAATATAATACAAGCAGTTTGCAGTAAAATCAATCTTTTAACAATGATCAAAACATTAAAACTCATACGGTATGTTTTTGTTCATTTTGTAGGTTGTTTGCATTGATTTCCTTTCAACATGTACGAGCCGTATATTATCATCGCCTTATTCGTAGTATATACAGCTATGCTAGCGATATGGTTACCCCCAGGTCGAATATCGGCACTGCTGATCAAAATATCATCGGACGTCAAGAAAAATCGGACAACATCCTTTCTTATTGTCGGGATATGCATTTGGATTTTGGCGATACAGACTGACAACAACCAAACGAAAAACAGATTAATATCCATTGAAGCTAAGCTGGAGGACATGGATGCCTATGTTATATCCCAAAACAGGGAAATGAATCAGATGGAGAAAAGGTTTAATACTTTACTCGAGGCTGAAACACTGGTATTGAAGGATACCTTCACGAAAATCTTGGAGGTTGAAGTTGAGAACCTGTTGATGAAAGCAAGAAACACAGATGAAAACATCGAAACGTTGACTATAGAATTATCAGAAATGGAACAAAACATTGAAACAGCAAATAGAGAAATGGCAAAGACAAAGAAACAAATGGATACTTTAGTTGAAAAAGAAATACTTGTGTTGAAGACTGATTTAAATAAAAAGAATAATAAAATATTGGGAAAGTTGAGAGAAACAGATAAAATACTTGAAGATCTAGATGAAAGTAAAAGAACGACAGAACGGAAAGTTGAAAAGGGTGAGGCTGTATTTCGACATCTTAAGGATTATGTGAAAGATCAAGACGACAAAAATTATCAGTTCAAGGAGGACGTGGATACACTTTATCAGATGTATAACCGTATTCAGGAGAAACGAGAAAACAGTTATCGGTCCCATCAGGAAAGAGAAAATGAACGTCAGCGAGATGTGGCTAGGAAGCCAAGTTTGGTAGTACGGGTAATCAACCAAGTGATTAATGTTGCCGTGCATACAGTTGGTTCATATGTAGGTGGAGCTATTTTCAAAGCAGTGTCTTGGGTAGGGTCATGGCTTGGCATAACGTAAAAAACCTCACGTGAACGCTCCATCGCCTTCATATGTATTTTCCTTTTTCTAGCTCAATATCTCGGTAATATACTGGAATCTATACTGACATTTAAACATTTAAAAGCTTTGATCTGATCTACAGCACTCCGCTGATAATATCCTAGCAGCCAGATAATCCATTGTTGTAAAAACAGCTGTTGCACTCGATCATTGCGCTAACGATTCATACCAGTATGACAATAACAAACTGAATGCATTGTTCCATTTCAATATTTACATCATGAAATCAGCTATTGGTCATTAAAAAAATAAGATTCTCAATTATGAATGTGTTTTGTTCGTGTATCATCAATTCAGCAATCATAGCCACTTAAATGTTTGACAAAGGCAACGTTTTACTTGCAGTGGACTGCCGATCGTCACACGTACATAAATCTGCATTTACGACGTTTTTGTATGATATATAATGCCTGCTATTTATATATATTTTCATATTGACAAATATGAGATGTATGGTAAATATAAGATAATTATATGACTAAGGCGTTACCTGAATACGAACACACAGGAAAGCGGGAGAAGATATCGAACATTTCAGTCATATCAACTACATGTACATGAGCAAAGCTGGCACCTGGTAGAAGCCCTTTTCGGATAATGTATGTGAATGTAAAAAGATGAGTAAAAACCTGTAAATTCCATTAATCGTACAGCTGGCAACCGATACATTTTCTTACTTCCGGTTAATGTAATACCACGGCTCTGCACTTAAACCATGCTGGTCGAAAATATAACGCGTCAATCTATTGGGTTAGGAAATTGTGTATTCCGAACTGATTTTGTTGTAAAATATCACAATCTGGAGTCCCGGATGAGCTGGTTTTCAATTTATCTCATATTTCTGTCAAATCAAAAGGAAACCAGTATGGAACATAAAAAAGATAACTGTACTGAGTCGCAACCGCTAATGGAATTGCATTTATTTCGGACCCAGTTTAGAAGATTACCTGTACTACCAAAGGTTTCTAATTTATGTAAAAGCCCATCATGCCAGACCCTATCAAAAGCCTTGCTCACAGAAGATAAATAAAATTTCCTGATTTTGATCAAGACAATTAACAATTGTGTGGTATATGGAGAGTAATTGATTAACAGGTGAATCAATCATTTGGAGTGAAACCAGATTGATGTTTTGTTATAATGTGATGCATAGTAAAATAATTATAAAGATTTAAAAAAAAGATTTTTACCTATAATTGCCTACCTCATTAGCTAAACCTTTTCCTTTTTAAATCGCAATTATGTTAGCTGTCATTCAGCTTAGAGGAATATAACCTGTTTCAAGTGTTTTATTGAAAGGTAAAGTTAGAGGAAGAGTGATAGATGGCTGTAGTTGTTTAAATATTTTTGGTTTCATACCATCAGGTCCAGCAGGTTTATTAGTATCTTAGAGGGACAGTTGATCTTTAACATCTTGTTGAGTAATGATAGTATTATTTATTGAATGGGTAGAAGTATTTATTGTTTCAATTATTGGTTCAGTATCTACAGAAGTTGTGGATATTGA